AAAAGCATTCTGATGTAGAGAGAGTGTTGACTGGGATCGTCTCTACAAGGGCTTGTGGGCTGGGAGTTTAGCTCAGTGGACAGTGCCTGGCCAGAATGCCTAGGTCTAGGTTCAACACCTAGCATTCCTCCACCTTTTGGCCTTGCCTAGATTTTTAAAGTGCCATTATTATTATTATTATTATTATTATTATTATTATTATTATTTGTGTACATGAGTGTGCTGTGTGAGATTGTTTGTGTAAGTGTGTGTTCTCACACCTGCTATAACATGCATGTGGTGTCAGAGCATACATACCCGTGTAGGCTTGGTTCTCTTCTTCCATTATTATACAGGATCAAACTAAGGTTAGCTGCCAAGGCAAGTGCTTTTACTCGCTGAGCCTTTTGGCTAGCTCTTGGCCTGCATCTGTGATCCCATGTGCTTATCTATGTAAAGAAGACTGTGCCTGCTACCCAGCAAATGCCAGCCTTCAGTACCGTCACACAAGCAAGAAAAAGTGTTGAGTGTGTGGTGTTGCATTTGTTAGTGTCCCTCTTCCACTTGAGTTGAGTTGTGAGTCCCAGGAGGAAGCACTCTCTGTCACACATTTCCCAAATCACATGCTTGACTGTTGAGAGAACAAGGGAATTCTGTACATGATGCCCACTTTGGCTCCACTTCTGTTAGTGGAGGATTTGGTGATTTCTTTTCAAGGGGCTTTATACTGACTGGGTAGAGACTGAAGAACTGACTGCTTTAGCTGTTATCCAGAGAAGTTCAGGTGTTTAGTACCTTTGATGTCATAGACCTGCTGATGGATGTCATGAAGAACCGTCCCGTCCACACAAAACAGTATGAATGGCAGTGCCAACAGTGCAAACAGTGTGGCAGGGCCAATCATGACAGGAACTCAAAGGACAGAGACATAGTGGGTGGCCAGTCACCACGAGGTTGGGGAGGGAGCAGCTAGTGCCCTGGTTTGAGGAGAGGACCCTGAGTGAGGGGAGCTTGGAGACTGAGGTTGATAGTGTTGGCCATTTCAGGGGTTCAGTCTCTTATGTCCATATGCACAGAAAATCTACATACACTGTGGCTCAAGAAAGCTTACTTTGCAGGTAATCAGATCAGAATTTAAATGCTAGCTACTTGACTAAGTTGTTTGAAAATGCACCAATGCGTGCCCATCCTGGAGAGGCTTAGGAAACATCAAGAGCAGCTACAGTGTGGTGTGAGTGCTATTCCTTGGCTTCCGTCTTTCTTTCTCGATGCCAGAGTCTTATTTCCACTGTGTTAGCTAGGTCTAGACCCAGTTGCTGCCTGGGTGCCATTCTGTCCTCTGGAGGCCAGTTTAGCTTTGCACTGAACATGAAACTGGGGACAGCTTGGTTGCAGTGGCCCACTCAGAAATATCCTGTGTGAGTGCCCCATGTCCTTAACTAGGCACCGAGGGACGCATGAAGCAGAGTCCACAATGCTATGGTTCCTGCGCAAACAAATAAGGAGTGAGGAGAGGGTGCTGGAAAAGAACTGCTGCTCTCAAGGGAACAATTGGAGACAAGCATAAAAAATGTCTGAGGGCCTACACTCACCTGTACCCTCACTTGCACAGTTGTTTGCACCCTCACCTGCACACTCACTTGCACACATGCATCATGAAAGGTTTTGTCACAGAGTTGGTGTCTTGCATTCTTACTGTTGTGTGATCCCGCCACAGGAGCTTTGTTTTGTCACATGGTCTTGAGGTCCCCTCCCACACAGGCTGCATCCTTTAAGCACAGGAAGAATGACTAAGTGAAAAGTCTCTTTGTGGCTTCCTGCCAGCTTCACTGAGGATTTGAAGGTCATAGCTTGAGTCCTTCTGACAACAAAATGGTGTGTCACACGAGGGCAGTTATCTGTCAGGCTGAATATTTGTGAATGAACCATTGAGCCCACAGACTTCCTGAGTCACAGTCTGTCCTGCAGATCACCTCTGGTGCGTCGCAGCCTCAGTGACCCTGAGGGCTTCTGCAGACCTTTTCCAGGACCCTTCTTGTTGTCCCTGCCTGGCTGCCTTGTAAGGAAGAGAGTTGGGAGGCAAGAGAAGCAGCAAACAGAACAGGCACAGAAGAGAAGGCCTGGGCAGTAGCGGGGAAGGGGTGAGCAGGTATGGTGCCTCAGTCCAGCTGGAGCAAGGAAGGAATGTGTAGAAGCACCACCCACAGAGCAAGCTGTGTGGTCTCCCAGGGAGGGGGGAGGGGAGGAGCTTTTGTTTTAGATTCTTGGTACAGAAAGGCTGTTAATGCCTATTTAATGAGTCTGGACCTTTTCTGACTCTTTGATGCTTTTTGAGAGTTCTTATCAAATTCTTATAGCCTGAGGTTAGCAAACATAGAAAGAAATTTTTAATGGAAAGAAAAATCAGATGGACAGTGGTTCCTTCTATAGGAGGCATGTGTTCCAAGACCTTCGGTGACCGCTGAAACCACAGAGAGAGCTGAACGCTAGATCTGCATTTTTCCTATACATACTTACTCAGGCCACAATTTAATGTATACATTAGGCAAAGAACAAAAGTAAACCAGAGTAGAGTCAGCCATATACTGTTGTAAAAATGACAATAATGTAGTGTTGCTGAACCCAAATAACTCTGCTCAAATCACCCCAACATTCTGAGTTCACCCCGGACCCAGACCTGCAGCCCTCTCAGGCTGAATTCCCCAGCATCTACAAGATGGCTGTGTTCTCTGTCTGGCACCTCTCAGGCGTGGCCTGTACTCCTTTCTCGGCATGGCAGCTGTCTCTCTTCCTGCTCCTTCCTCAGTCTATTGCCCAGGAATCCTAAAGTCTCACCTCTGTTTCTCTGCCCAGCCATTGGCCACCGGCAACTTTATTTACCAATCAAAAGCACCCAGCCTCTTCTGTGTGCACCTGCAGAGTCTCATGCAATTTTGAGGCCAAATTAACATAGTACATGCAGCATTAGACCAAATCCACAGCAATGTGGTCTCTTGTACCTCTCAAAGTGTCTTCCCATGCTGTATTCTATTTTTAGACAGCAGTTGACCACAAGCAACTGGGACCATAGAAAGTGGAACTGCAGATTTGGTGAGGGGAGTGATGGTTATCTCTCTGCTGGTAAAATGAGCCAGTTCAAGCCGGATTAGATTATACCAAGGCGGGTTTATTGGGAAGCTGCTCCTGGGTGGGCAAGTTCACTGACCTCAAGGAAGGAAACCAAGGAAGTTGTCATGGGGGTGGGGATAGAAAGAGAGAAAAGGCAGGAGAGCTAAGAAGAGAAGGAAAAGGAGAGAGAGAAAGGGAGAGAGGGAGAGGGAGAGAGGGAGAGAGGGAGAGAGGGAGAGAGGGAGAGGGAGAGAGAGAGAGAGAGAGAGAGAGAGAGAGAGAGAGAATGAATTTGTGCAAGCATGACCAAGTGTCTGGATTATATAGGGGAGGAGCCTCTGTGGGAAAGGCAGCCCAGCCCCTCAGCTGGAAAATTCAAGGTTGCGGGCAGTGTATGACAGGGTAAGGACTGAGGGATGCTGGAAGAACCAGTGGCCAGATCTGTTTGATATGTAAAATATTCACATACCACCACCCTGTCCTTGAGTCCAAAGCAGGGAGATCTCTAGAACCATAACTAAACAAAACTGGCATCTGGGAGCTGGTGGGTTTGGCACAGCAGTGGGCAGATGCACACATTATGGAGTCTAGAGCCTCAGAGAGTTCTGAGTATTGAGAGACCGAGACCAAATGACCAGAAGCAAATGAACACCTGTGTTCAGTTTAGAATCCAACCATCCATCGTCCAGTAGAACAGAGGGACCAGATAGGGCAAGGGTTGATGGTAGTGCCTTCAATGGTTATTCCTACTGGACCACAACTGGATATTAACCAGAAGACAGAGTATAGTCCTTGTTTCTATTGAATGTGCTGGTTACAAGGAACTAGACTGGTGGACAATTGTCATACAACAAAGTCTGCATACATGCATGCAGAGAGACTAGTGTGGGGAACATGGGGTGAGATGATCCCTTTCTGGAAAAGTCACTGCCTAAGCTGGGCTTTGAGGTGTACACCTGCAGTCTCAGCTACTAGGGAAGGGCAGCTGGAGTCAGGATTATGGGATTGAAGCCAGTGTGGACCGCACAGTGGGACTGCCTAAATTAGGGTTTCTTTTGCTGTTGAAGAGACACCATGACTATGGCAGCTCTTGTAAAAGAAAACATTTAATTGGGGTTGGCTTACAGTTCAGAGTCCATTGTTATCCTAGCAGGAAGCATGGCAGCAGGCAGGCAGACAAGGTGCTGAAGGAGCTGAGAGTTCTACATCTGGATCCACAGGCAGCAGAAGGAGAGAGCCACTGGGCCCACCCTGTAGTGTCATACTTCCTCCACCAAGGCCACACCTCCACTAATGCCATCCCTATGAGTCTCTGGGGGCCATTTTCATTCAAACCACCACAGGGACCCTGTATCCCAAAACAAGAAAAGAAAAAGGGACTGATGGAGGACTAAGGCACTGGTGCCCAAGCCTGCAGACTTGACTTCCTCATGGTGGAAGGTGAGAAGCAACTTCCATAGATTGTCCTCTGACCTCCACATGTGTGCTGCCTGTGTCATGTATGTACACACACACAAAAGAAGTAGAAAACAGGTTTTTTTAAACTTTATCTTATTTTAAAGACATTTATTTTATGTATATGAGTACACTGTAGCGGTCTTCAGACACACCAGAAGAGGGCATCAGATCCCAATACAGATGGTTGTGAGCCACCATGGGGTTGCTAGGAATTGAACTCAGGACCTCTGGAAGAGCAGTCAATGTTCTTAACCACTGAGCCATCTCTTCAGCCCTAGAAAACAATTTTACAAAGGAGTTAATGTTCTGAGGTTAATTTCATGTAAAGCAAAGTGGCATGTTTTCTCAGCAACCCTTAAACAGCTTGCATGCTCTGGAAAAGCTAGTTGTGATTTACGATGGTGACACTGATGGCAGGTCATAGCCAGTCACCCTGCTTTTCTTTCTCTCCTTAGTGTCAAATCAACAGTGCCTTGACTTCCTTTCACACTGCTCTGGAGCTGGCTGTAGACCAGAGGGAGATCCAGCATGTCTGTCTGTATGAAATCGGTAAGTATAAGAATCCAGCATGTCTGTCTGTATGAAATCGGTAAGTATGAGAATCC